TGGGACTGGGGCAGCAGGCAAGCCGAAATTGCAGCAGAAAAGCCAGGCTAGCCAAATCTGAGCGAAAATTCATTGAGTACGGAATAGCTCGACCTAGAGTCGGGGCTGGATGAAAACTGCTCGAAGTTGTGGATAAAGACTTGAGTGGGCGAGGGGTTGCGGTCGAGATCCTGGAGAAAATAGTTGCGGGAGTGCCATCTCACTGGGTGTGACAGTGCCATGCCATCATCGCACTGACATGCTTCGGTTTATGGATAGCCCCGTAACGGTCGTCAAGGGTTGGAGAGATGATACGCAGCTCCGTGGCAGCTGGTTCTAGGTGAGACGGGGATTGACACATGGAGTCATGCAGATGTAGACTCACGGATATTTTCCATTTTGTTGGAGGACCGTGCGAGTGTAGACCGGACACCGGCCCGTTTTAATAAATAACAGTTCCAAGGGGTGTTTGGGCAAATGCAGTCGAGATTTGAAGGCAAGGAGAAAGAAATAGTACGAAAGCAGCAGCGCATGGCGGGTGTTAGGAGGCATACGATATAACGGCGTTGACAGAAAAACTCTGAAAAGGGATGACAGCAAGCTAAATGGACCCAAGAAACGTGGATACGCTTGCTGATCTAGAAGCCAAGTACTAGTTGGGCCAGAGTAGGTGCCTAGTTTTAGGAATGTGAAAACTCTGCCGTCGAGGTAGCTAGAAGGGAGGCTGGCTTTTGAACTAGTTGAGAACGGACGGTATTTTTTGCTCACCAAAGCGTCATGACATCAGGTTTTTGTTGTGCAGAAAGAGGGGTTAATGTCAGCAGTGACAGTGGACAAGTAAAACAAGCGGACAAGCAGCAGCTTCCCAGATAATTGATAATAATCGTAGCTCAACTGAGGTCTACTACGTCAACCTGGCAGGAAAGTAAGATTAAGGATCACCAGTCACCGAGTCGATGCTTTCAAGTCCAGAAAACTAATGGTGCATGGCAAAAAAACAGCCACTAAGTGCTAGCTATGACTGCTTGTAATCAGGAAATCATAGGTTATTAGCGTTTTGCGTACATGATTGCTCTAGATAACAAGAGGGAAGATCGTGTGTGCTATGTTTGAATGATGAAGTGGACTAGGGATGGTGTGAACCCACTAAGACGAAAGTGGCAACAACTTGCACGTCGATGTTAGCCGTGAGTCTCGCAAGTACTCGCAGGCTAGCCCACGCATGAATGTTTTTGTAATATTTTTTGTATATTTTTAAAACAAACGAGAGGACAGCTGTCGTCCGTTTGTATTTCTTGGTGTTGTGGGACAAGTTACAACCGGAACAAAGCCAATCCAGCTACAGACAAACAGCAACGCCGCTCTTTTTTGGTTTTCCCGAATAAAGGCCAGGCTCGGAACCACCGGCGATGGGCAATACACCCGGGCTACTGGGGGGCGGCGAGTATAAGAACGCACCACGGTGCAACGTAACAGGGCGCCCCCCCCTGCAGGGCGTACCCGTCCACCACACGAGGTCTTCATCCCTCGTGCATGCTACCAGATATACAGGTTGGAACACTATGCAACCAGTCATAAGTGCGGTTTGTGCATTAATAAATAACTCAAGCTACCAGATATTTTATCCGGCCGTTGGGAAAGCCAGGCCAGTGAAACAGCTCAGTAATTTCGAACAAGCAACCAGCCACTGGAAGTGGCAAGTCGCGGGAGCAAATGAAACATCAACTACCTTTCGGGCAATGGGAGTAGAATGGAGATGTTTAGAGCCTGTGTACTATGGCTAAACGAAGACGTAGCATTGGTGGGAACCACTTTGTAAAGTAGAGGTGAACCAGTGTTATGTGCATGTGTGAATGATTGGGCTGTGGGGCCAAACAAGTATTTTATTCATAGCGCATCTTCAGACCCACCATTTGATGTGTGCGCTGCGCGTGTTCGATGGATGCAGAATGGTTCAGAACAGCGAGGAACTTAGGCTTCAGTTTGGTCGAGGTTAGTTAAATCCAGTCAAAGCAAAGCACCATACATTAAATAGAGCTGACAGAATTAGCCAGGGGAGGGACCAGGCTTGAAGAACTAGGAAAAATTTGGCTGTGTACAAAAGCTTAAGACCGAAGGAAGAAGATGCAACCAGGTCAGTGGAGACGGGCATGATAGTTAGATAAAGTGGCAGGTTATAGATATGAACACTTGGGAGGGTTGTTTTCACACTTGTGGACTAATGCTAAGGGCTTCAGGCTGGTAAGCGTAAGTTCTAGGACTTAGTGACAGGACAGTAAGAGTGAGCGCAGATTAGAAGGACTTCGGGCCTATTTAAAGAAAAGTGTCTAGTGTAAGCTGAGGCGCGAAAAGGCGCTCAGCTCCCTCGATAGAAAGTTAGGAATCGATGGCCTTTCGAAAGCCTACGTGAGATGAGATAGTACGGATATGGGAGGGGAGCTTGTTCCATGGTTTAGAATGAAGGCAAACGAAAAAGTTTTGTCTAAAGACAGTTCGACATGTCGACAGTGAGAGTAAACATCCAGAGTTACGGATATTATAGGGAGTACATGAAGAAAATTCAGAGCAGCAGTCAGCTATGTAAGTCCACCGGTAGATTAAGCGATGCAGAAGGCCTAGATTCAACCTGATGCGCCTTGGTAATAAGGGATCCAGCCCAGGTGAAAAGCAGCGGAGACGATACGGTACTGTGGATGACACCGGAAACAGGGACTTAGTAAACGAGCGCTGCACATTCTCCACAGCAGTCCGGCATGTTTGTGAATACCGTGACTCGGATTCAGGGCCGGATTCAAAGATGAGTCTTACCAATTGTTTAAAAATAGTAATTAAGCAGGATTTATTATGGAAGGATCGAAGAATGTAAGCACAAAGCCTGCTAGCTTTAGCCACTCTGTACCTTGCATGTTGGTTGAAGCTAAATTTACAGGAATACCTAAGTCCTAGGTCTCTCACTTCTGGAAGAGTAGGAATGGTAATTAATTTTGGTTTTACAGATACCGTATTAAGTGGTCCACTGCCGCAGTTTTAAGTTCGGAGCGCACACTTTTACACGGTATTACAGACGATAAACTGGATCGGGGCTTTCACTCTTGATTCCCGGACAGTGTGCTTGTCATTCAGTGGCTTTAGTTTGCACGAAAATTACAAGCGAAAAAGGGGGTGAGGTGTCCTCCTTTGATTTTCCAGCGTTGGAAATAAGATTTCAAGGGCGAGGTCCCTCACAAAAGAGCATCTAAAAATAACTTGAGCTGAGTTCTAGATGCATCATCAAAAACCGTCCCTGAAAAAGTTCTTCAATGGACCAACTACCCGAAATAACAGCGATAATTTTCCGAAGGATGTGTGCCTTCTTAGCTTTGAAATCGTTTTACTATATTATTGCCGTGTATCAGCGGGGGTAAAAATATGAAGGACTTATTGGCCAACTCTTGGTTAAGCAGGGCGTACGCCAGTATTGGGGCTCTCTGTGGTGAAGGTAGCCTGGTGGAAATGCCTTAAGCCACTCGCTACGAATTTCCTCATCAGCGAATTTCGGGCCGGCCTGATACACTTGCTCAATAAGAGTTAGGTCCTTGTTGCTATCTAGATAGACCATTTGGTTGATGCATCCAACGCGCATTCTGATATATGCCCCACAGAACTGGAATTCCATGCTAGCAACACGGTGGAAAGTGCTCGGGTTAAAATGAAGAGGGGCGCAATCCCCTCGAACCTATTTTTTAGGGTGAGGTAATAAGAGCTTGCTTGAAGAAGGACAGATACCCAAATGTTTTCTGCTACCTAACTTCCGATCCACTTTTACCATATGGTGGAGATGCACACACATTTCACCACTAAAAGGAAGGTATCAGTTCATTGACTGCTGCCTTGTGGCGTCCACATCCGTTTACAGAGCGCTGGAATCGGAACTCCGGAGTTCCAAGCTGTCTGCAAGAAGTAGACATGGACTTGGAAACGCAATATGAAGGACTTCGACGAAGATCGGAAAGAGGAGTGGTCCTAATAAGCACCCATGGGGAACTCCGATGGAATCGCTGGAGAAGAGGGATAAGTTGACACAACTTTATATTGGAACGTTCCCCTTTATTGGAAAACACTAACTCCTCTCCTCTAATCACTTTATCCCGTGTGTGGAACTCAATCGAATGATTTGAGAAATAGTAACTGGGGCTTACAAAGCATGTACTTTGTTTCTTGGTTAGGCTGCCACAAAAATGATCTGGGAGGATCCATGCTACACCGGGGTGTATCAGTGTTTGCAATTAGGTGATTTGAGATGACCCGCTTCGGAATGCGTTCCATTATTCCGCACTGTATACTAGTGGGGATAATTGATTTGTACCACCCCAGAGCCAGGAAGTCACCAGATTTGTAGACTGGCGTGACTACCAACTCCCTCCAAGCAGACGGAAGGTTGCCCTCGTCGACAGACTGACGAAACTCCAGGTAGAAATGATTAACCAATGTGATTCACGTTTGTTCAGGATTGTTGAGTGAGCACACTTCTTGCTCCAACGCAACGAAGGGCTTCGTTTCGTGCATGGGATGGTGGCAATCTTCATCTTCGTATAGAAGTTCAGTTAGAGGTAGTTTATATTGACCTCTTGAAAAGATTAGATGTGAGGGTTTAGCAGTGACAGACTACTGGCCTGCATTGTGTCAACTGCAGGAGTCAGATACCATTATGAAGCGTGGGTTTCCAATGGAGTAAAAATTATCTACTTCGAATACCAGGTATCTGGAGTAACCTTCATTACGTAGTTGTCCATGTTGCGTCCAGGAGCCAGTTCACGTCAAATATATATTCTTTTGTTACATGAGTTCTTGCGTTAGAGTGCATACTGCTCGTTGCTAGGACTTTATGGGACGGCGTTGTACCCTTTTTGGTTTGTGCCTTCCAGTTGAAACGGTGCCCATGAAAAGGAGGAATAAATCTTTGGCGAATAAAGCTTTGGCGAAAGTCTCGATCCTGTGTATCAGTCCGTGAATCCACGATAGCGTATCATGGGCCGTTGAAGGCCGCTCGATGACGATTGGTTCCATAAGTGGGGCTGTGGCTTGTCCCCGAAACTCGTGCTGGCTCGGCGTGCGTCGTGTGATGTCTACTGCGCAGAGTCTGTTCACGACTTTGAAAGTAAGTCTGATACCGAGGAACATGTTATCTCCACAGGGTTTGTCGGTGATTGTTACTGGCGGCGCCTCAGGCTTGGGACTCGCTACTGCGAAAAGGTATGTCTGTTAACCTCGACGACCTACATATTACATGCAGGTTGCTAGACAGCGGATGTAGAGTCCTTGTGTGTGACCTGCAAAAAACTCCAGAGTTCTCAGAAATTGAAAAAGATTGCGTTTTTCAGAAGACGGACGTATGTTATGCTCGTGCGTCATCCAATTCTTTCAGGTCACATGTGAGACAGATGCAATCAACGCCGTCAACACCGCGAAGGGACAGTTTTCAAAACTTGATGTACTTGTTAATTGTGCGGGCGTTGGTTTTGCTTGTAAGACGTTCAATGCCAAGCATAAGAAACCGCATGCATTGGACACATTCGAAAGGATAATTAAGGTGAGTTTTGATGCCAGTTTTTGTATTCTTATGACTTCGCTTTCTGCCAGCGAAATCGTCAGTAGGTGTCACACGAAAAACATATCATACCTAGCTTCCAGAATGGTTCATATGCGGTGCCATGATAGATAGTGAAGGCATCAACTCTGGACCGTTTCGGTAAACCACCGTGATCTCCCTTACCCACGAGGAATCCAAGTACAATCGCTCCCCTACTGGTTTGTGACGTTTTTTCGTTCAGCTGTAGCACACTTCCGGTACCTGGCTGCTGTGCCACACGAGGGCTGGGATACTGCTAGGTCTCCCAAGCGTAGACGGGGTTTCTGCAACGTAGTTCCTCACCACCGGTTCATTTGTACCGGAAGTAGTTACGAATGAAAGCTAATTTCCTCCGATAAGATTTACCCTGTTTTCTACAAGTACGCTCAGCTGCACACGAATTTGGTTTTGACAGGAAAGTCTTGGTGGTTCTACTCAACTAGATGTGGTGCACCAGGCCGCCTCTTTGAAGACCAACGACCGGATTCGTCCTAATTGGAGCTAGTCAGGTAGGCACAGTTCTCAAGTAACGTTCACCCTTCTGTTCTGCCTGGACCCAATCTAGGAAGATTTCGACTACTCATTTGAACTCGAATTTGGTTTTGAAACCAGACAACCTAATCCTGGTGGGTCTGGTTTGTGTTGGTTCAGGTAGAGTATAAAGCTCGGAGGCTGCGACTTCTTGATGTGCCCCAATTAGGGCGAGACCGGTCGTGGGTTGTCGCAGAGCTCTCGGTGGCCCCGTGAATAGCGTGTCACTTTTAGTGGACGGCTGTGGTTATCTCCATTCACGTTGAACTGCGTGTGGCTTATGTTCGCTTGTTCAGGGCTAGACTGGTTTGTATGTGGCGCTCCTACAAACAAGGCCCTTTGTACCGGGAAATTTTACGCAAAACCGACTTGCGACAATCTTTTCCATGGATTTACTTTCCTACTTGATGTAACCGCGTGCTTCATAGGATCGCCTCGTGTATGCAACTCGCGTTCTGTGGCTTCCTAGGCAGAAGACTTCTGTCTACGACCGGAGGCCAGAGAACAAAGTTGAACTAACCTTAAGTGTAAATTTGAAAAAGATGACGTCCGTTTACATTCGGAGTGTGGGCAAATTGGCCGCTGCCTTCACACCAAATTGGGTTCTCAGGTATGAGATGGAAAATCACGTAAACGTGAGTATTAATTCAAGGGGCAAGTCATCGTCGACAGCATAATTTGTGTTGAAGCATGTTTTGTTGCGGTGCAACCATTATTCGCTTGAAAGCCTTGTGAGGGACACAATAAAGTAGATGGTTACGGAACTGAGTGCTAACCTACCACAATCACTAGGCATTGTGGATACAGCCTGTCAGCAGAAGCGTCATCGACAAAGAGGGACTACTAAGTCTTGCAGCGTCCCCGACCACGCACATGACTTTCATATGCCACCCATCCTGGAAGATGAGTCATGCTGACCGCCCCCGGACTCTAATATTTTTCATATCCATCCTCCAAGTTACGATCGTCCGCTCCTGCTTGCGCCACTAGCTGGGCCACTCCCTTCGGCAAACGATGATCTGGTATCCGTAATACATGGCCAAACCACCTCAGTGTCGTGCGCTTCACACATTCTCCGATTGAGGTCCGTGTTGCACAACGAATACTCGTTTTCTAATAGCCTCCTTCCGGATACGCCGACACCAGCATGCACAAGTTATGGTTCTGAGACGACGGTTATTGTTCAGTTCGGCCACTCGCAGAGGCCACGTCCTACGGCCATACAAAACAACTTGCACTGTACCTTGATGCACATTCTCTGGGCTTCAGGGTTATAGAGCTTTGAAGCCACAGGTGTCCCAAATTAGCAGACGTGGCCCGTGCCTTGCGGTTTCGTGCTTTGGCCTCATCTTTCACAATACGACCGGGACTAGCACAACTTCCGAGATACACAGAACGCTCCACAACTTCGAATGCTTCTCCTTGGATTGTGACCTACTTGCTCCGTGACCTCATATCCAGGAGCGTTAACTTACACTTTGTGAGTGCAGAGCATACCAAGGGATAGGACAGCTTCGTTCTTTTCATCCGAAAAACATCCGTGTCTTTTAATCCTCTTCGCACAAGAGAACGAATTCTACATATCCCAGACCGACAATGTTTTTGTCAACAGCTGTGTGAAGGCCGCGGTTTAGAAGACCCTGTGTTCGTGTCATCTCTTCCATCACGTAATTAAATAGGGATGGTTATTGGGTTCTCTTGATGGTTACCACTTCATGTACGGGAGCTTTTAAAGGGTCCTCCGACTACTCTTCCACTCCCGGGAGTCTGAGAATTCAAGGAACTGATTCACACACTTCTGGGACATTCCTTGCTGAGCAAGAGCGTTGAGGAGAACAGACCGGTCAACTAAGTCGAATGCCCCTCAGAAATCCATGACTACTAAAATGGTTGGAATCTACAGAAGGGTCACGAAGCGAACGGCATTCTGTTGGTGGTGATGTGATCAATTCAGGTTTGCTGCTGGTACGCTATTGCATGGTACCATGTTGCCGGACGACTTTCGTTATTTCGGAAGTTGGTACTGCATAAAAACGGCGCGGTCGGCACGTAGCTGAGTTAATCGTGCGTTCGTACGGAGTCTAATCTATGTCGACCACCTAATTGAATCTCAGATGCGCTGTCCACATGTTTATTTGGACCTCCGGCAACCACAACGCCTGAGCTTTTAGCGCACAGTGACGGGGCACTCAACGGGTCATAAAACTTGCTTTTGATGATGTCAGAGCCGCAGTCGGTTTGGACGTGAGCAGACATGACAAATTGACAACAGTCAATTTTACTCCTTTGTGACTCCTTTACGGACGCTGATGAAGTGCACAGAGCAACTACCAACGGGAATCCAGTCAATCTAGGATCATTCTGCCAGATGACTCAGGATGATACTGAACCCTTTATATCCTGCGTTTAAGCTCTCTTGGTCACCAGATACGCGCAAGCGGAAGCTTTTGGAGAGTGATATGCTTGCGTACCCAATATGACAGCCAGAGCATCCTGTTGTGGTGCTTGCTTCAGAGTGCGAACGTCAAAAGCGACCAAATACGACGGCCATCAAGGCATGACGATTGATTTTGAGGTGCTTTAGGCTGCACGAGCCGGTTGACGCACTGATATTCCTGCCAGAACCGATGCAGAACGAACTGAGTCACCAGTCTTAACTGTCGGGCTTGCAAGGAATCGTTAATGGGGTGCGGAGAGGGGAAGAAAAGTATGTGGAAGCTAATGAAGGGAGGTGTGAACAGTAGCTCGCTTTTGCTTACCCCCCCTCCCGTTGTATGCAGCCAATAAGGCGACCTGGATAAGGACACCACACGATGGCCGGTGGCCCATACCTAGACAGGGGGACAATTGGGGTTCATAACCACAGCCTTTGACTCAGAAGCCTGACTACAATGCTGTGGGTAGGTGTGGCGTACTACCATTACTTGGAAGACTAGGAGGCCGTTCGTCAGACCTCTAGGTAGTAATCAACCTGATGTGAGAAACTGCGGTTGTCCATCACGCATCCTTAAGGTGCACTCACTTCGTCACGTAACAGGACAGATTGCATTTGTTAGTACAGTGCGTAGGAACAATATTACTTTTTCGGTTGATGGAGACCTGGCGCCCACCTAGTTTCTTCCTCAGGGCTCATCAGGCAGGTGTAGTCCTCAACGTCAAATCTATCTTGTACATCTTAACACCAAGTCTATTTGCACATGGTTTTATCGCTTCACCAGCGTTCTATCTTCAACTCAATTGTTACGGCGGGAGCCGCACTATAGCCAGTGTACTGTAAAACAAATGCCATTGTCTGGTACACTTTCGCACGTTTTAAAGAGTTCCCTTATTAAAACACGAACTGTTTAAGCGCTCAAGCTTGTTTATGTACATGTCCAAAGTCATGATTGCGAGTGTCAGCTATATTGGTTATGGTTGCCGGAGTCTCGTTCGCCCACGATTTGAGGAGGTGGGGTGGATAGCTGCGCATTGGATGTGGTAGCTGTTATAATTGAAGTGTAAATACAGGTTTGTCAACTGATATTTCACAGGGTGGATTGGAAGGCCAGCTGTGCATTGAATGCAACAGTTTGCGTGAATTAACGCCATCGAGGGCGTGACTGGGTCATATCTGTGCCTTTAACTGAAGTGTAAATACAGGTTTGTCAACTGATATTTCACAGGGTGGATTGGAAGGCCAGCTGTGCATTGAATGCAACAGTTTGCGTGAATTAACGCCATCGAGGGCGTGACTGGGTCATATCTGACAATGCCTTTAACCATTGATTAGTCTCGTCTTGGAGTTCCCATCCAGTGAGGCAGCACTTACTAACACAGCTGGGTTTGCTATTTCATCGCCAAGTCATTTTTTAACTTCTCCCTGCTCATACCCACCCTTCACACGGTTATGCGAAAAGATCCCCTCAAGGAGCACGTGATAAAACCGCAAGACCTATGAAGTGCGGTCAGTTCATCTGTCGTGGGTGTTATTTCTTCGAAACTATTCGGTGTACTTCAGGATTACTGATTTGGTGTTCCCATCAGACTTGCGCAATGCCACTGAGAAGCTAGTGGACCCAGAAGTCAAACGAAACTATCAGAACCAGCTCCTTGAATACCTGTCTGACGGTATGGCGTCGGATATAGACGGCCACTGGGGAAAAATATTCCAGGGCGCTTCTCAAAGCCAGAACGTCTGCTTGCGGTGCAACCCACCCAACCTCGTCCAAGTATTAGACCTCTGATAGGACCGTGTCTTTGCTGGAGACCCGGCGACAGATTCCACGTGGCCGCCACCACAACTTCACCTGACGCATCATCCAACGCCAGGTGAAACTCACTATCCGTGCACACTGAGGAGCTTGGTGGACACGAAATGCCGAAGAAGTGGAAGATGCAACCAATGCTGAAAATGTGCGCAAACTGTTCCAGTTGATTCTTTCGACTGATCC